TCGAATAACAAATCTATTCATTTTTACTTAGTTTAAAAAAATAGTTCATTCATACTCTTCGAGAACTATTTGATAACGCTTTCTTTTTTTAAGAAAATTTTCCCAAATATAAATAATCTGCAGCGATTTCAATACAATGTGAATCGTTATTTTCACACAGGCACCATTCTCAGAGCCTGCAAAATATTTTTGCAGGTCTGGTGCATCTTCATGAAAGAACAAAAGGTCGTGGAAAAATATATGACATACATTTCAAGGTATGGAACATTCAAATAACGTAAGCTAAAAAACTTTTGGCCAACAAATCTTTTTGAGAACTGGTTATTGCGAGGAATTTTCTACCATCGTTTCATAACTGTCTTCAAAACTTTACAACATCCACCTTCCATACACGATATACATGTATATGTACCTCAGGATTTAAAATGATGGAGTGATGGAGTCTGTTATATCCAACACTTACTTGATAGTTGAACATCAATTAACCTGTTCATAAACATAATGATTTGTTTATTGAAATACAAAATTATATCATAACCCACTGGAAAGTATTAACATCTTGAGCGATCATCAATATGGTTTTCGTATGACACCCATATTTGAAATAAATAAAGCAATCGAAAAATATGGAGATTCAGGAGCTGTTGCGCTTGATATTTCTAAGACTTTCGTCCATGTATGGCATAAGGATTTTCTGGCCAAACTTCGATGCTATGGTTTGTCGGATCATTTTTGTGTATGGCTCTCCAGCTTCCTGAAAGAACGTTCTCTTCAAGTGGACGTCGATGGAAATCTCTCGAATACTTTCAGCATCAACGCTGGTGTTGCTCAGGGATCCATATTGTCCCCACGACTCATTGGAAAAAACCAAGAATCAAATATATTGCTTTGCTGGATCCCACCTAGAAAAGAGCCATTCGCCTGATTGGAGACGCGAACATCACTTGCAACCTTGATAGTCTGAAACATTAAAGAAAGGTTGAATATTTGTCTCTCTTCTATAGATACTTTCACGGGAAGTGTTCAAGTAACTCGGCATAGTTGATTCCACCAAGAGCGGTACATATCAGAAATATGCGACGGACTGTGGCTGCTCATCGTTTTGAGGTTCAACTCAGTACAGTACTCGCATAGAGCACCTTAAAGATTTGTGTTTTGCCCTTAAAAAAAGTGAGCGTAAGCTCTTTTAACAACTATGAAACTGTGTTGCATTATTCTTGATCATTATTGAAATCATGCGTTAAAGTTTGAGGTTGCCGCCTTTTTGTAGCTGAAACATTTTTTTTTATTTATTTATTTATTTATAATACAATACTCTACAGGACATAGCCCAGTTACAGAGCAGGAAATAACAGAGTATAATAAATACATCACAAACAAGTGACTGTAAAGTCTACAAACACTACAAACAATACAAACAAATGACTAAAAAGATTACAATTTTTTATTTATAATGCTTTTTTCGAGAGTATAATATTCACGCCTTTTTCCGAGACTGCAAAAGTTATGCTTTTGTAGCAATTCAGAGTGGGTTGTTCCTATTGGAGGATAAATGCCATCGGTTTTTAGGATTAGCAGTTTCAAAAATCGTCGTTGAATTGCTTCTATTCCATCAATATGATATTGATAAAAGGGGCTCCACACAACTGACGCAAATTCCAATTTTGATCTTATGAAAGCATAGAATGAAGTTTTCAAGGTCGAAGTTTCTTTGAAATCACTACTGTTACATGTAATTGATCCGTACAAACGACAGATATGCCTATTAAATGATAGTGGAATGTCAAATGTGAAGCCAAGATCTGTAAATGTTTCTGGTCTCACCCGGGAAACGTTTTTTATTGAACTATCAAAGATCAAGATGTTCGTTTTCAAACTGTAGGACATGACCTCAGATTTATCCGGGCTAAGTGAAAAGTTATTTCGATAACACCATTCAACAACCCGTCCTACGTTTGCTGAGAGGTTCACAAAATCACCTACGTTCTCAACGAGGCAGTATACAGTATAGTTTCAGATCATCGGCATACGAAAGGAAATACACATCTATAACATCTGCAATATCATGAAAGAAGATGTTGGAGAGCAACAGTCCCAGATTTGACCCTTGTGGCCATTCAATTGGACCTCTTCTGCCAATCCATTGTCCTTCAAAATGATTATTCAAAATATTTCTACATTCTTTCCTCTAGCAAAAACTACAAGATCGTCAGCATACAGTCTCGCTTTAAGAGGAGCCCTAGAGTCGTTGATTATATCATTAATGGCAATCAGGATTAATGTGGGGCTCGGAGAAGAACCTTGCGGTACTCCATTTTCTTGGATCCTGTTGAGAGATATACAGCCGTTTGTGCGAACTCGGAAATTGCGATATTTCAAAAAGTTAGCAATAAAATGCAAATGAAACAAATTTGTATGCAAGACTTTTGAGAATCACTGAAAGAAGAGCCGCTATTTTGAAACCATTTTTTTGTTACCGATATTCAATACTTCCCTTCGGTTCCTCACTGATCTTTTGAACAAATTACTGTTAACATATAGTTTACACATGGAAAAGAATGATGTGAAAACAAACAACCGTTATTTCAGGGATTACATGCCAACAGAGACGAATATGAAATGTACTTCATCCATCAGACTGTTTCGGAAGAAGAAACTAACAATGAAATTCGGATCAAGTATGTCAACCAGCTCTATAGATATGTTGGTTCGATCTATGATGGAGAATATAAAAAAATCAATGCAGATGTGCATATAGATCAGTAAGTATTCTCTGAAAAATTGATAGAGTAGTGCCTGACCAGGTTCTGTTATATTTCACATAATTGACTTGAGATTTCATAGCGTTTGTTATTGCATCAACAGTGAATACTGAAGATATTCCCAGTTCCCAAAATTTTTCATTTCAATCAAAACATTATTTCGGTTTTTGCATCATGAGGTGGAGATTCCAATCATATTTTTCCCATTATGATATTTCGACAGTTTCAGTAGGTAAATATGTTTCAGGATCAGAGATATAGTTTTTTCAGTGTATATATACAATAAACCTGATAACAAATCTCTAGGATTCGACATAAACTGGGATGCGAATAGAGACCCCGACCAAAAACTGATGATTTTTGCCAATTACGAGAAATATGCTTCATTCGACTATATTGCCAATTTTATTGTCAGTTATCCAGGACGTACTATAAAGGGAGACTATAAATTTTTATTAGAAAGTAAGTGAATTCTCACAATACAGACTGGATTCAATTGAATCCATACTACCAACAATCGTACATTACATTTCAAATTGCTTCAATCTACTGGAATGCTTCTACGAAATCGCGCATTTGTCGAAATTAGTTTTTCGACAAATCCGTGAGCCGTTTACAAGTATTTAGGAGTTATGACAATAAATTCTTTCTCAATGGTAATATCTGTTTCTAGGAAGACATTTGGAAACATTAGCTAGCGTGTCATGGGAAGACGGAAAAACGCTGGCTATCGATATGGATATTTTGTATGAATATGATAGAAGATTATATCTGGAAATCGATACCCAACTGAATACGCCTTTCGACAACTGGAAAATATTGAAGCTAGATGGAAGGTAAGATATTATCCCGAAGTGGTCTTGAAGAAAGTAAGTAACAATAACCTTTTGACAATAATATGGGAGTTATATAGTGTCTAACACTATGCAAAGCGGGACTGAATCAATTATTTTTTCGATTTCGTTTTTTATTTCACCAATTATGTTTATGAGTATGTCGAGGCTACTTTTTGGGTTTACTTGTTGTGTTCTGAAGGTTTTTATGTCTGAGGTTTCGTCTGAGACTACGGTAGACATCAAAGGTAATGCCTTCCCTGAGCACATTTTCCGCCACTGCTGATATGCCGTTATGCCCCAGGTGATAATTTCTGTTGTGTTCGGAGAATCAGGTACTGATACTCCTTTCCAAAGTTTCAGTATAGACTGGTATCTGAAATCAGGTATACGACTGATATTGCCAAAGATCCTCTGGGTCTACGACTCTTTCCTGAGTCGTAGGTATTGCCTGCTCGAAATCAGCTTTGCTAAACACACTTCTTTGAAAGAATTCTTCAATTGATTCAGTTCTTCGAAGAGATTATCAGGTTCATAATTGCGTTGGGCTCTCTCACCTGAAAATTGAATAACCTCACTTTCCTCTCCGGATACGTAGTTCTTTGGATTACCCGCTTCATAACGTAGCCACGCGGTTTCACGATTGCTGGCTTTGAGGCACTTCGTTCAAATTCTTTCATGTCGTGCCATCCGTTTGTCTATAGAATACTTCAAGTGAAAATTCGTTGACGATAAACAATAGACGTTCATGGCGGTTATGTCTGCCGAGAATATTCAGTTTGTTTGACCGGAAACATCGTGTACAAATAGACCACATCGAAGCTTACTAGTATGCCTTCTGGACCTTAGCTCAAATCCCTCATTCTTCAGGAACTTCAGGAAGAAAATCCTGAGTCTATGTTCATTAGGTTCATTCTTCATCATTAATTTTTTTAAGAAAATAATTTCACTCTATAAGAATTATTAAAAAAGATTTTCTGGTATTTCTGAAGGAGCTGTTTTGCGAGATGAATGTCATCTTTAATTAGATACCAAATAGGCAAGGTCCACGTTAGGAAGGTTAGCTTATAATATCATCCAAACCACGATGGACGTTGTTCACAGTTGGTGCCTGAGGGAGCAGATGTCTGTCAACCCCAGCAAAACTGTGATAATCTCCTTCATCAGGAGAAGAAAATTGGATGATCTAACGCCACTTTCTCTCAATGGTGAGGTCATTCCATTCGGAATGGAGGTGAAATATCTTGGCATTGTCCTTGATAAAAAAACTCACCTGGAAAAACTCACTTGGAAAAAGTTTTACAAAAAGCCACACTGTTCCTATGGACGTGTCGAAAAATTTGTGGTGAAACTTCAAATCTATTGGATTTATGCGATGACTGTCAGACCCATGTTCACTTATGGTGCAATTGCCTGGTGACCGAAGGCTTCACAGAAAACGGCCCAGGCGAAACTCTCTGACTTACAGACTGGCATGTCCGGCCATCAGTGGTGCCATCAGTACCACACCTTCAGCGGCCATGGAGATCTTTTTAGATCTACCTCCTCTCCACATTCTTCTGGAGAGAGAGGCTAGATGGGCTGCATAAAGACTTGTGCACAATGCCATTTGTACAAATCAATTCAATGCAGAGTGCAACAGACTGTTGGTTGACACTGGAAGTCACAGCATTCTGGAAATGACCTCTGACTTCATGACTCCAACTGACAACTACGTACTGCCTTATAAAGTACTGTTCTTGAGCAGAGAGGACTCCAGAAGAAGGAAATTTAAAGAGCAGATAGTTGTTGGTTCACAGATGTATCAAAAACACCTTCCGATTCTGGTGCAGGTATTTACAGTTGCAGTCTCAAATATACATGAACAGATGAAGCCGCCAGCCCCAAATCCAATGCCCAAATCTGCCCCAAATCTGATGCATTGGATGCTCTTGGACCCTATGTGGATTAATATCGTTCTAAATTCGACAATTTTGTTTGTTCGATTACCCGTATCCCAGGTGTATCTGGAAACTTCAACCCATGATGATGTATGTTTCTGAGAAGCATTTTGAAGTCCGTTTCGAATATTCTTCCTTTCACTCTGTTTTGTGCTAATGGGGAAACAAGTGTGATTCAGTTCAATAGAGAAGATTCACAGAAAAATATGGGATCGAACAAAAGACACATTTTGGGATATGCGGTGAAAGAACATCCAACATGTTTGAAGAATATATGAGACCGAAATACAAATTTGACATATCACAAAAGAATGAGAACATACTCTGGATAATGTGAAGAAATGATTGAACTGGCTGACAAGAATAGTCTGAATGGTCTGAATAGTCTATACGGGGTGCCAGCCGCGAAAAAGATGAGTGTGCCAGACACGAATCATCAACTACACATATAGCCCGAACCAGTTGTGGGTGTACTAACACCTTTGAATCTGGACCAGATCAGTAGAATGCCAGTAATTAAAGACAACCCAAATATTAGTTGATTTCTTCAGTAACGTTATTCCATGCATTTATCACTGTTTTTTTCCCAGATTCGAACACATACAAAATAAATATGACTTACGAGGAATGATGTCTTGGGATAGACGTCAAAGAATTACTGTAGATTTATTCGGAGATTACACGTCGACAGATTCGTATTTCACTTGCAAATATAGTTGTTCCATTGTGAGTACCTCTGATAAACTACCGAATATCAACACGACCATTAGCCACACGCAAAATGAAACAAATTTCGATACGAATTTACAGTTAATGGTGAGTATAATTCAATAGATTTCAGTCGGTTCATTGTCAGGATTATTATTTTAGTATAATCCGGAATTCATTATTGGAGCTGAAAGCCGATGGAGGATTGATTCGGATTTGGAATCCACTAATCTTACTGGGACGCTCCGTTCTCAGACGCCCTTTAAAGGTATGAAAAATACTTTCCTTGTTGGTAAAGTAATCTCGAAGAATAGAAGATATATAAAGGGGGCTGCTCAGCTCGATGTGGATCACAAGAAAATCGATTTGGACATGGAAGGATACTTCAAGAAGTTAACAGACTGCAGACTTGTTATAAACGCGACTACCCCCGAAGATAAATATCAGTTACGTTTCATCGTTTCCACGGAAAAGAGAACTTTAGTCGCCATGGTGAACTATCCCATGGGTAGTGTTGGAACTGAGGTTATTTTATCGATGATTAGTATCACCAACTTTGATATTATATTTCATTTGGCAACACCAGTGTCGTTTTTACAAGAAGTACTTATTGTTGCCAAACTGAAACCAGAAGAGGTGAGTATCAATCATGAATTGATTTCAGTTCAAGTGACATTGAACTGTATGGTTTTTGGTTTTGATTCCACTGACGTATGGGAAGAAATGTAAAATAATTGTCAGTGGTGTATTAGTAGTTTTTAGTTTTTTGTTATCTTTCATTTAGTGAAAATATATTTAAGGTATAATCGGTAATTGCCAGAAGACATGCTTTGAATAAGTACAACAAATCACTGCAAGTTTTGGTTTTGTAACTACTTTAAGTAGAAAACAAAGAAAGTAAATTTCCAATAATTAATTATTTAATTCAAAGAACCCTGTGGTGAATACCTGAAACGATATAATATATATCTATTATGAATACTTCAAACTTCCATTACAAGAGGCGAAAACGACATATACTACTACTTTTTTTCGTTAAGGTGGCTTGACGTATGTCGTCACGACTTTGAATGTCACTGTCAATTAGAAAATGATTAGGGAATCTTCCTGTTTTTCTTTCTATGAAATTTTCCAAAGCTTATCCCTTATCATTTTCAGAATATCATCTTTCACTTGTACCCAAAATTTTATCTAAAGCCAGGATTCAACTATTATAATGAAGTGGATGAACTTCACTATTCATGATAGTTTTTCGACTTCGTTGCTGGATTCCTAAGCCTTCTTGACTTTGTTTGCTCCACGAATCAACCCACATGATCAATTCTATAGATGGTCAACTTTCCAATTCGAGTCAAACCAATATCTTGTTTCTCGAGTACAATAAATACGATAGGCATATTCATTTTTAGCACAACACGTGTTTAGTCGCAGGTTTAATAAAAAAAAAAATGTTTGGAATTGGTTTTCCGGATTCCTGGTTCCGATGCTGTTGTTCAAAATGTTTTTAGTCATTGGTAAAGTTCCTTTCTCATTTTTTTTCGAAAATTTCGATGTTTCATCACTTGATATTTTGGTTTCAATTTATTCATATCACAATTTAGGTAGGCAGGTACGCCTATGGAATGGGCCTTTCACTATAATTCATTTCACTATTCTAATATCAGTGAGTAGCAGATGTTGATACCATTCCACACCAGGTTTTTCAATTGAGACTTTCCAACAAATTGTTTTCACCTCAACTCATTTCATCATACTCTTGCTCTATAATGCATAGATCAATGAAGATGTGACAACTCATTGAATAACGTTTGGAAAAACTGATGAGCAACTTCATTTCGAATATTTTCACAATGAAAATACTGAATATCCACTATATTTCATCAATAATTTATTTTATAAGAATGTTTATTAAAAGCAACATTATAACACAATAGTCAATATGAGAATAAAATAGAGATATATGCCTTGTTTGATTTCATAAAGATTGATATGTTAGGTTAGGTTAGGTTAGATCCAAAGTGAGTGGGTCTATTCGACCTCCACCGCAACCCATAAGGGTTTATTGTGGCTCACACCTGTTCACACTCGGCCAAATAAACCCAACTTCTTAAAGAAGCCGATTAATTTGTATGGCGAGTGGTCTTTCAGGTCAGATGCTAAGAGTACGGCTCTGCCGAGCTCTAAAAACCTGATTCGATCCACAGCGGGGCAGGCACAAAGTATGTGCTCTGCTGTTTCATCAGCTTCCAAACAGAAGCGACACACTGTCTTCCGACAGTCCGAGTCTCTGCATATGATGATTCAAATGACAGTGACCTGTAAGAAGACCAGTTAGACATCGTAGTTCATCCTTACTGTAGTCCAACAACTGTTCAGTTTCAAGCTTCCAAGGGTGAATGAACGCCTTAGAGTTAGCCCATCCTGGAAGATTCAGCCAGAAGTATAGATACGTTCTGATCCAATGAAGCTGCTTGCTGCACTCTCCTTTGCAAAGGAGTCAGCAGCCTCATTGCTTCTAGGACAGTATGGCCAGGAATTCAGACCAGAGACAATCTGTAAAGTTTTCCTATCGAGAAGAGTCGTTTTTGGCAGTTTTCTACCAATTTAGACGTTGCTCGGTAGGAGCCAAGAGCTTTCAACGCCGCTTGACTGTCCGAGAATATTTTTATTGACTTGTAAATGAGGTTAGGTAACCGAAAAAATACAATTTTATCGAAAAGTTATACAGGGTTCAAAACGATCACTGCTCCCCTAACATAACAGAAGCGAAACCTCCCTCGAAGACCGGTTAACCAACCAAGTTGGCAGCATTAGGGGATGAACTAAATTGAGTAGTCTTTTGACTGGTGAAAAGCGGGACGAGAAAATTGCTGCAATTCTGATATGTGGAGGTTGTTATGGGTTCATTCTACACTAGAGGTTTCAGTTATAATTCTCAACTATACAGGATGGTTGAAAAATCAAAAGCTCTCGCCGGTTTTAGGAAAGTGGATCAACTTTTCAACAACACTCAGAATTTTGACATATTTTCTATAAAATACTATTATTATTCAAATTCAGCAGAGATTAGTTTTTTGTTTGATGTCAGAGAAGTGGAAAGCCAAAAAGGTCTTTTATTCAAAATTATTATTTTTCCTCAGTTTCTAGGCATAGAAATACTGAAAAAAATCATAACTCGAAAATTATAAAATATGTAACATACATAGGCCTTGATGTCTATCTAAAAAACTTGGATGTATCTGTTTGGGTGACACTGTGTAATTGAAGTGCATACGCTATCAACAAACAAACATATAACGGGTGTATATGAGGGTTGAAAAAGTGGCTGGAATATTGAAAAATGTTACTTAAAATTTCTCTACAGTGTTATCAGTGTATCAAATGAGCTAGTTTCAGCGTACATTCGTTGTATGTAGTCGACTATGGATATTTAGCTCCTTGAAATATTGATCTGGTAACCGGTGAAAATCCTAGCTACACTTTATATAGGCGGAAGTAGAAAGTTTTAGGAAAACTGTTTTATTCTCAATTACATAACTATGGAAACTTTAACGTAGCAATTTACCAACAAACCTTTTATAATATGCTCCTAATTCAAAAAGTTACGAACTCACCGTTTAATGAATTTTAATGGTTTCGCTATAAATGAGAACTTCCAGATGATGTTCAGTGATGGAATTACCCATCGAAACACATGTTTGAGTGATATTGCCTGGTGATGGGAGAGATGAAAATTATTTTGGTCGTTATTCAAAAATATTTGATGCATGAATTCCATTACGAAGAGTTACGTCTCGTTTCGAAACTAATATTTATATGTTGAAAATGTAATAGCTCATAACATTTTGTGTGAACACATCAGTTCGAAAAGCTTATTTCATGTCCTGAATATGGTGTTATTTATGACAATACATTAATATTCAAAATTTCATTAATAAAATAACCAGCACAAGATATGAGTGTCGGATGAGTTGTCAGCCTGCAGAAACCCCTTTTGATTGTGTCTTTTGAAAAATCGCCAATGACATGCTTTCTGACCTCCATTCCAATACGTTTCAAACCATCAAAAACCGCATGGGTGCTGACGCCTAGTCCTGCCGCTATCCCACGCACCATGCGAACAAGCTTTGTGTTCTCGTACTTCTTGATTACTCAAAAGCTTTCGACAGGATTAATCATGAATTGTTGTTAGCTATTCTACACTATATAGGTTTTTCTCCATCATCGCAGCAACTTATTGCTGCTTATCTCAATGAACGTACACAAAGAGTTATATTGCACTCTACATCATCAGAATCGATCGAAACCTTGTGTGGTGTACCTCAGGGATCAATATTGGGACCGCTACTCTTCACTATTTACACCTCCCAATTCTGTGAACATTTGAAACATGTGACATCACATTTCTATGCGGATGACACGCAGCTCTACCTCGCTTTTGATGAAAAAGATATTGCTGCTGCCTGCAATGAAGTTAACGAGGATCTCGCGAGAATTCTCGATATATCAGAAGAATTCTGTTTGTCCATCAATCCAATCAAATCCAAAGCTATACTTTTCGGTAGAAAATCGACCAAAAATAGATCCCGACCCCTGATTTTCCTTCACATTCGCAATGAAACACACGAATTGTCAAATTGCGAAAAAAAATAAGGCCTGTTTCTTAATGACTCCCTCACGTCTTCCACGCATATATCACATATAATCAAAAAAGCTTTCGTAAACCTAAAACTGATCTATTCCTCGTCCTGGATTACTGTAGGTCCACCAAACCAAAGAGTGCGTTCTTTGAAACTATCATTGCCAAATAACTGGTTTCGGCAGCGCTTTGGTTAAATTTGGATTTGTAGGAAAAAATTGTCCGAAAAACGAAAATTAACATCATATAGTTTGTGTCGCCCTCTTGTACTGGAGAAATAATGAAATTTTAATTTTTCGGATAGAAATTATTTCATAAGCTTTCCACAAAATCAAAATTCTATTAATGATAACGATCATAAGATCTCTTTACAACGTACTAGGCAAATATATTGTTTTTTTGCAATATTAGGTTTTGCTAATGAGCGAAAATATGTATGATATAATGTTTCATTTTTCTAAAGAGCATTAGCGTTTCACAAAATGAAAAAATTATTATGGATGTACCCCAAGAAAGAGTTTTGAGCCCCCTTTCATCTGTTATGTATGTGATTGATATCAATGTGGCTTCAGGGAATTGATTTGTGAATCTTTTTGCAGACGATACTCATATTTCTGTATCGGGAAATGATTATCCAGAAATTGTTAGTGCTCTCAGAGCTCTAAGAGCTCAGCAAGTTATATAATTGATAATGTCCAAATTATTTGAAGTTTAATTCCTCAAAAACTAAGTATATGATACAAGTGATTGGAAACTGTATGAAATTTTGTGATGCAGAGTTGTCTTTGTTCATAAATAGTTAACCCATTGCATGTGACATAGAAATTCGGTTTTTTAACATTTTTGGATAGAAAATTAAAGTTTTTCATTCGTTTGAATTATCATCTCTGTAGTCAGTTTCAAAAACTATTTATTTTTATATCTAAGTGGACTGAAATATTAATATTATTTCGCCGTATTTCACTTACAGCAGTTCAATATTGCTTTGTTGCAACCAAGATGTTCAAGAATTAAAAATACGGCAGGATACATAAATGCGAATATTATTAGGGTGTGGCGAACGCACACCAATTAAAACCATGTTAGATACAGTAAATTGCCTGAACGTTGAGCAGAACATTAAAAGGGCAAATTCTCTTTTGATATACAAAATTGAACATAACCAAATGCCTCAATATTTAAATACATACCTCAAAAATGACTGCAGTTTCATAACTATGCAGAACTATGATCTTGATCATGTACACGTATTACAAAATACACTTTTATGGGAAACGCCTGTAGTATCTGAGGAATCTGGTAAAGAGGCTGAGAAGTGTTTGCATCAAACAATTTGAAACTAAATATCGAGAAATCTCAAAGTATTACGTTTGAAACACACGTTGATAAGTTAGAAAAAGTTAGTACAAAACTTTCAGGTATCATTTTAGATGACATCCTCTCATGGTCAGCTCATACTGATCAACTCTGCAAAAAAATTTCCAGCCAGTCATTTCTCCTGAGACAATTGAAAAAATGTCTGAACGGCCATGTTCTCAAAATGGCATACCATTCCTTGTTTCAGTCCCACTTGAGCTATGGCATACTATTGTGGGGAAACTCTACTCAGTAAGAACGAGTTTTTCGCCTCCAAAAGAGGGCAATGAGAATTTTAGATGGTGCTCCCTTTAGAGAAACGTGCAGACCACTGTTTAAAAAATATAGGATATTGATTCAACTTTGTTTGTTTATTTATGAATCAGTCATTGAGATTCACAAAACGATAAATGAATATATGACACAATCTGATGTGCATAATTATTCAACGCGTCTGTAACCTCCTCGTTACAGACTTACTGTTTCATCTCGCAACTCTCTGGGCTTGAGTCTTTACAACAAACTCCATACTGATATCAAAAATTCCAATCTTTATCATTTCAAACGTGAAATAAAAAGTATCTTATTAGAGCATAGTTTCTATGAAGTGAGAGAATATTTGGAAGCACCACTTCTCACGTCTTATCAACACAATTAATCTCTTTGTTTGTTAGTAAATTACGTTAGGCTTTTTCGTACTTTTACTACATTAAACTTGATCGAAAAATAGTCATTTTGAAAATTTTAAATTTTATACATTGAATTATTTATGTATACATATTAGTATATACACTTTTTGTATGACCTGCTACAAATGTAATGTAACGTAGTCAAATAAACTTACTTACTTATACATATTACATAATGAAGGCAAAAGTGGAACCTCTGGCGAAGAATAAATCCAAAAACAATCACTTTTCGCAATCACAAGAAATATAATATTCTTCTCAACCCGTATTTTTACAACAAAGTTTCATTGTTTTGTAATGGAATTTAAAATAGCTAAGTGCCAAACACAATTTTTTTTTTCGATTTTATTTATATGTCATACCGTTGTTTCTTATGTTTCCCATATAACTTATTCAAAGGGTAGAGTAGTAAACTGGATTATTTCAGTCCTTTCATCCCCGAATTAGAAATAAATTTTGCATACTATGTATAAAACTCATCAGTATTATATTGTTTTCCCCTATTACCCACCTGCTAAATTATTAACGCCGGTTCTGCTGCTTTATATGTATTAGATATGTGAAAATGAACAAAAGAAACAATCTTTCAGGCAGATTTCCGACTGGGCTGGAACAGTCTACTGCTGGGATTGGCAGGGGTATGGCATTATGCTAATGTCACAGACTTCGAATACTCCTATAAGATTTACACACCCATCGACGATTTTGAAGAAAACGGCATCGTCGGGAAATTCATACTCAAAGAAGGCTTAGACTTTGAAGTTTCTATCAAGTTATCCAACTATAAGGTTCGTATATGTTTGTTTATGTATCTAAATAGGGACAGGGATTTATAATTCACCTAAATTGGTTTATCTTTAGAGTTTTCAGAAGCATTCAGTGAAAGTTCTTGTACGTTCCAGAATAAAAGCTGAGTCCGGGATCTCAGGCATCAGCACACTGTAATCACTACTCTGTGGTTGACACTTTTTATTTTATTCACAATACAGTACCTCTAATACTGGCTGTTTGTTTGGAAACTGCACTTTCTTATATATTCTCAAATAATTGCTGACAAACCTTGGAATTCTGTTCATTTTCAGTTTTTCAATTCGATCAGAAGGATTATCTACTTCATCTTTCAGCGAAAATGATAATACAAATTCAACATTCTCAGTTTCTGATTGGATTTTACAGAAGAAACACTGTGAATGGAATACAACTGGCTTTTATGACAACATTTATATTAATCTCAACGAGAGTAGAAAATACTAAAAACACATTCTGGTGGAAAATGAATGGAAATGAATCAGACTAACAACAAAAGAGCTGAAGATTTATTCTTCACGAATGACAAACTACTTCAATTCTTCATACATTTAGAGTTTTGGGTTATTTATTTTTTCGAATTATGTATCGCGATTGACAAAATTATTCAACCAATCCGAATGATTTCCGAATGAATCTTCAATTAGATGGTTATGTGCCTGGAATGAATTACGAGAATGATCAAATAGCAAATGGAGATTTCACTCAGAAATACTGACTAAATCATAATCAAAAACACTCGAAATTACCTTGAGAACCCAAAGACATGGACATTTGGAATTGAAATCTGTAAAAATACACAATTTTCAAGGAAGGTTGTTATAAAACTGCAATACATTTTCCTTTGAGATTTTCTAGTTGATAAGAAATACTTCTTCACTTCTAGGTACTCAAAATATTCATTTGAATTACAATTTCGTGATTATTCTATCGTTAAACATTTTCGTTCTCCATTACGTATACATTTCTTTTGTTGGTATTTTTCCTTGTCAAACTCAGAACAGGAAAAAACCTTCTGATTTACAAACCAAAAAATATATTTCTGAAAACGCTTCAAACAGAAACAGATATATTTTCTTTGTCAAATTTCAGAAAATGAAATGTGCTTATGTCATGATCAACAGTCTACATGACTAAATATACAGAATATTCCAGCAAATTCAGTTTGTGTTCGGATTTTCTCTTCAAGTATTCACGATGTTCATTTCTTCTCAGATTTAAGGATCTTGAAGTTTCGCCTACACAACTTTCCACAGGAATCAAGTATATTATGAACACTATTTCATTTTTTCAATCATATTCTCAGGTTTTGATCGTGTCGTTTGTACTGGTACTTCTGAAAATTGTTCTTTGAACAACGTAACGTAACGTTAACTACCACAAGGATGCTGAGTTTAGGTGGGATTTTTCCTGCAATGATGAGAGGTAATTCGTCGAAACTGGTCTGTAGGTGATCTACTGAAATAATTTCAGCATGGTCCTGCTTCTGGATGAACGAGAATCATCTGCGAGACTATCTTGCATAAATATTGGTCGAATACAATTTAATATCCAGCGTGGTAGTAGCCAAGGAAGTAGTTGGTTTCTGGCAGGCATTTACCAGAACCTACGATTAAGGTAGTTGGGATTAACTGCTGGTGCTGGATTAAGGTGATGCATCTGCCAGACTATCCTTTGTGAGATATCTCGCATGAATGAAAGATGAATTTTTCGAAATTCTATTGCAAAATATTCGTTAATGAATATTTCAAGAACATACGGAGATGGTGATCAATTACGGTGATAACAAAAATTTGCCTTGCTGACTATAAGAAAGGTTCATATATACAAAAATCGTAAGATGTATGCTTAGGAGTGTCAGAAGATATTAACCAAAGAAAACCATAAGTTGTTACGGTCATAGAAACTGCGTGAACTGTTCAGGAACAGAAAAATTTGGATATTATATCGCTAAATCGATGCTGATATTTATAACTGTTACTAGTGCGAAATGTTGCGGAATTCTTCGCAATATTCAAGTTCTTTGTGTCAAAGTTGAATGATATTGATGTGGACGTCATTTCATTACAACAAGACGATACCAAAGGGGTTGTGTAATATATGAAAGCCATTTTCCGGGTTTTGGGCCGCGGTCTGCAGGTTTCCAGGCCAGACGTTTCATCTACTACTGCGGTGAACATCATCGAATGCGATGTGGTAACGGTCGCAGTGCCCGAGTTGGTGATTTAGTTGTTGTTTCCATTCCGAACGGGGTAAATACGATGGTTATATTTGACTTTGGTTTGATTCCATTATTTGTCGTGGTTTATCTTCTCTTAATTGGATCACCTGACCTTGTTTGTGTACCTTCAAGGACAGGTAGCCTGATTTTATCAATGCTCATTGCCTCTTGTTCTCCATCGAAATTCTTCTTGTGTTTTTGAATTTCTATTGCCTCTTCATATACTCTTAGATAGTCATTTCAAGTTTTATCGCGTGTTACAGTATTTTCGAATGAGATAATGTGAGTGCCTTCTTTGTTGAGAGCATGTTCAGCAACAGCTGATTTGTTGGTTTGTCCGAGTCGACAATTTCTTTAGTGTTCAGAGAGACGGGTACATACACTCCTGTTCGTGGTAATAATATAAACCGACCTACAGCTACAGGTAGTCTGGTATACCCAGGGTGTTGCTAAAGGTTCTTTGGGGTCATTAGCTCACCTTATACTTCCTGTGATACTTTTTGTTGGCCTTAATATTGGTTTCACGTCGTGTTTTTCCAAGATTCTCCAAATCCGGGCTGTAATATTTTTAACATAGGGCCGAAAAGCTTTTCTTTTTGACCAATGTAGCTGGGGTAACTTAAGCGTTCTTTCTCCTGGGTCAATGGCCCGCTGTATTTCTCAGGTGATGGAGTCCCACAGAAAGACTCTCAGGTTCAGAAATATGTCGTGCTCTCTCAGCCAACGTTTCAATCACCTCTCTCTGTTGTTGTGGTACCTCTCTGTGTGGCCCAGTGTACCGTCTTCATATCTGTTCACAAGAACATCCAAGAGGGCTAGATTCCTCTGGGTTTCTCGTTCCTTTGTGAATTGGATTTCTGGTTCTTCATTCTGATGATAGGAATTGGCCCCTTAAATCATTTGATTCAACACTACTGGAGTCCATTCCTTGGAGTTATTCAGAGTCAAAGATGTAAACCATTAATATGTTGAAAAGGAAGATGCTCCAAAAAAATTAAGCAATATTCGTGCAAAATGACCATGGACAGTTTCGACAGAAGGGTGCGTATGTACATGTGAAGTCATAGCAATTTTACTATATTTTACGGGAAATATAACTTCATTCTATGTTTTTCATGATTGAAAACACCTGATTTCTATCCAATTCGAATTCTGGGACAATCTGTATATCTTCAATTATCTAGACTTGTCAGGTGTAATTTCCAAACTTCTTGTTTTGTTTGATTTAATTCAAAAGAAAAAATCACAAACATTTTTAAATTGTTTCAGAGTTTTCCGATAAGGAAATTTACAGATTTTCCCCAGTTGCCTATTAGCTAAGATTTCATCGAACACGAAATGTACAATCTTTTCCTGCCCGACCCTTTCTCACGTTTTGTTTGTTTTCTCTCACGTACTTTTTTGATGGTTTCTCGAGTAATGTAAACAGAATTCTTCACATTCAGATAGTGAACGTGTTCCACTCTAAATAATTTTCAATTATCATATTATATAGATGAGTATTCTTCAAACTAGTTTCAATACATAGTAATACACTAATACACTGAGATCTATTTGGAGTTTCAAATAATAATGACAGATTTTTGTTCCTCCCTGGCTCATACAATGAAATCATTCAATCAATTATATCATTTGTTTGACAGGCTCATATTGATGTTTATTTCTAATTTGAATTTTGTGGAATTCAAAGAGTAATTAACATATATACGAATGTAATGTAGGCTTTCACGGCTGGCGTTAATGTTTTAGATGATTTCTGGGTTTTGCCGTGGCCTTCTTTGGTTATGTATCTGTAGAGTAGAAAGGGTGATTAGACCCACAGCACTTAGGCCACATGTGACCCATTGTACATCCTCCTGAGGAGTTGTCCTTCTAGGTCATCGTCCAATCTGTCCTTTCCAGGAAGGTGGACAAGTCACTAGGAAACATCTCCTTTATATCAGCAGTTTTTTAAACTTTTCTGTCTCATCAGCATTCAATTAAATCAGCAGGTTGTATTCGTTGTGTACGTAAGTTTTTAGTATGATTCACTTTTTTATCAGAAGCATAAAATATCCACGTCAAAAGGCAACCTTCATAAGGAGGTGCCACTCAATTTACCTAAAATGTAAGGGTGATAACCAACCCCATCCCCCGAAAAAATCTCTTCGTAATAAACAAATAATTCTTACTTTTTTACGAAATCAAATGGACACGTATTGGCAGGTTGTCATAAAAAGCAAAAATTTATTTTTTTTATGAAAGTTCTGAACGTGAATTGTACCTTAAAAACAATTTGATTTATTTTAAAAAGAGTTGAACTCAATAAAAATACCTTTAAATCTTCAAATTATCTTGAAAACTAATAAGGTATTCGAAAGACCTTTAAAACAAGGTGCCACTCGACCTACTTTCCCTATCTAAATAAGGGTCGTCGGACGCACCCCCCGAGTGGGTGCGGTCTACAAAAAATCTGATTAGTCTGAAAGGTGTCCCCTTTTAATTAGAAATCGACGTGTCCGAGCATTTTTTAAAAATCTTACTCTTCATATTCAAAAACGGCTCTGTTAAGTTTTCATTGTTACACACTGTATATTCTCAACTACTGCCCTCAAGTATTGTGTATATGATCTGTACATTTCCTTCAACAATTGTTATTTATTTAGTCTATTCTCTTTTTCTGTAGACATCTCTCGACAAACTGTTTTTCTGTCCAAATGGTTGTTTATGAAATTCCCACCATTCATATCTTATGACACAGTTTTTTATATTTCCATATAA